TGCTCATGGACCCAGAGCCCTGCGCCCAGGACAATGCGGCAACGCGCGGCGGCAGAACGCACGGGGCACGGCCGGGCACGGCACAGGCGTGGGATCTACGCGTGATGGATTTAAGGACATCGGCATCAGCCCAGAGCCCCCCGGTTCCCAGCACAGGGTGCAGGCAACCCCAGCACTTCTGCTGGAGCTTGGCCTGTCCAGAAAAGCAAACACCACTGAAGTGGAGCGGGCAGCCTGCCTGTGTGGGAAGTCAGATTTTGGGCTGCACCCAGGCAGATTTCAAAGTGTCTGGACCTGCCTTTGCCGGTAAAGGCTGGCTTTCCTTTGGGTCTCTTAATATTCAGCGCTGTAAGGGCATTTTTGGGAGCAGCGTAAGACCCGTCTGTACCGACTGGGGAAAGAGCCCTGAGTCGGCGGAATCCCAAAGTAGTTCAGGGTTTGCCTCCTTCCTCCTGCCATATCCAAAGTGGGGAACTAACCTCACCACGGTGTGGGGAGCCAACGGCAAGGGGCTTGGCTTCGTGCATTTCAAAGCGGAGTAGAAACCCCACGTTAACAAGACTCGGGAGATGCCAGGGCTGCAGGCAGGGCAGCCACGGGGAGGACGGACGGACAGACAAGCCCCAGCTGTCCAGAACCAACAGCTCCCCTGTTTCTCAAACACCTTTTGGCCACAAAAGCCTCCTGCACTCCCCTTGGCTGGGCTCTCCTCGGAGAGGACTTAGTTAGTACTGGTACTACTGGTAGTGGTTAAGTTACTACTGGTTAAGTGGCCATAGGCGTGCTCTGGGGGGACCGAGACGTGCAGCAGGACCCTGCCCACCTGGAAGAAGTCAGCAGAGAGCCCGAGTGCTCATAAATGCTAATAAAGTGCACGAATGCAGAGACCTCAGCTTCCCTCCCCCAAGGCTGGCACGGCCAGGGACAAGGATGCGCTGTGCTGCATCACCCGTGTGCCGGAGATCGGGACCAGCCCCTTCCAAACTGCTGCCAAACCCCTCGATCTACGGGGAGGCTGCTTCAGCTGGGGATGCACCGCCAGCAGGTGCCCAGGGTCCCTGAGCCCCTTGGCTGCCTCCCCACCCATGCACCCACCCCTCCTCAGTGCAAGGCTCCGACCCTGGCATCGCCCACGTCCCGGGGCAGGACCCGCGCAATGGAGCACGTGAGGACAGTAAGTGACAGGGCACGTAGGGGCACGATGAGACCCACCACAGCCAAGGGGGACAGAGCCCGGGGTGTCACCTCCCAGCTGGGCAGTGGCACCCGCGCAGACGGGCAGCGCGGCGGCCGCTTGCTGCTGTCCCCGGGAGGGACACGCGCGCCCAGCCTGATGGCGGGGAACCCAGCCCCAGAGCCCTTGGCAAACAGAGACGGGGACAGCGTGGGGACCGGCTCTGCAGGTGGGACCGCGGGGTCCAGCAGCCAAGCGGAGCAGGAGCTGGGCGCGTGTGCTTCTCTGCTGGGGGGGTTCCTGGGTAATAAGGCAAGGTGCTTGACGTTACGAGAAAAGCGGCCAAGTGCAGAGTGCTGGACGAGGGGGGGTGAGACTCAGTCTGCCTTTCCCAGCTTGGCTATCAGCTCATCGCAGATCTTGGTCAGCTCCTCAATCTCCTGGTTCTGGAAGAAAAGCAGACCTTGAGGACCCCCATGGCGGCACAGATGGGGGATAACTCCCGGTCCCATCTGCCACGAGCCAGCGCAGGAGGGGCAGCCAGCCCGTACGCCTGTGCCTGTGAAAGCTCCACCATGAAGCATCCAGGT